CTCATAGTTTTTAGCAAGGACCAGTTCCCAGAAGTATATGTGCCCACAGTGTTTGAGAACTATGTGGCAGATATTGAAGTGGATGGAAAGCAGGTAGAGTTGGCTTTATGGGACACAGCTGGACAGGAAGATTATGATCGCCTGAGGCCTCTCTCCTACCCAGACACGGATGTTATACTGATGTGTTTCTCCATTGACAGCCCTGATAGTTTAGGTGAGTGGCCTTACAGCCTGCTTGTCACAGTTTACATGATGGACATTTGGTTTTTCAGACCTCTTCTGGGCATCAAGCATCTGAAAAGCAGGCCTTAGCTTCAGAAAAAAAGTCATCAGTACCCAAAGTCCTCGAACTTTGGAACAGAATGTGGGCTATAGCTTCCTTTTGAGCCTGTATCTCCAATGGCTGCCATAATTGTTCTGTTTTATTGTGGTACTAGAGATTCAACCCAAATAGTGCTAGGCAAACACCACGCCACTGAGCTGTACCACCAACCCTGTTTTGTGTGTTTAAAATGTATCTACCTTGCTTTGTGGTGTGGTGGTTTACACCTATAATCTCAGTACTCTGGAAGGCCAACGCAGGAGGTTTACAAGTTCGAGGCTGGTCTGGGCAGTTGAGCAACTTAGCTAGGGTCTCTGAAAATGAAAAAACGCCTGGGGATTTAGCTCAGTGCAAAGAGCCTGGATTCAGTCCCCACTACCACCACAAAAAAAAGGGAAAGTATCATCCTTTTAGCCAGTTGTGGGATTACAGATGAGCGCCACCAAGCCTGGCAAGAGATGAGGGCCACTCCAAAACATTGATCTACTTCTCAAGGTCATGAAGCCCAGGCAATCAAGCTGAGATTGAACCCCTGCGTAGTGTCTCCCAGGACTAAGAAAGAACCAGGTACTCCCTGTTATTGGTTCACTTAGTTCATCTTCAGCAGTTGTGATTTATAATTCTGATTTGCACACTAATCTGGCTTTCTTTCAAGGGCTGTTCCAAGGCCCTAGAGGATGAAGGCAAAGCTCTGGCCAGTAGAGAAAATGGAACAATAGGACATCTCAGACACATAACTGATAACACTTGACCTAAATCCTACAGGAATGAGGAAGGCTCTGTGTCCTCAACATTCAGAGTATAATCCTATAAGGACAAAATACCTTCTGAGCAAAACACTGTTCTCCTAAGGATATGTCTCCTGGGCTGAGTGTAGTGGTACCCACATATGATCCCAGCTATTCAAGAGGCCGAGGCAGGAGGATCACAAGTTCAAAACTAGCCTGGGAAACCTGGCAGGAGTGACCCTGTTCTCCCATTCCCCTCCCACCCCCTGCATGCAAAAAGACGGGCTGTAGATCCAGTGGTGAACCATTTACTTGGCATGCACAAGGCCCTGGGTTCAATCCACACTACCACCGAAAAAACATGTCTCCTGGTCTCAAAGAACATCATTGGCTTTTTTATTTTGGTTTGATTTTCTGCAACAGGTTCTTGTTATTTATTTAGGCCAGACTTGAACTCACTATATAGTACATGATGATCTCAAACTCAGGATCATCATGCCTCAGACTCCTCACACCCAATTCTATTTGGTTTTTAACCTCTGTGTATTCTATGTATACTATGACTTTTTTTTTTCTGAGCCCCAGCCATAGAGGGTAGGCACTAGGGAAGAGAGTAAATGTAGAAAATACACAGGCAAAAAGGATCATCTCCCATTTGGGGACAGTCACCCTTGGTGCTAGGGTCTGGATGCTCTTGAAAACTACCCTCAGTGCACGTCATTGCAAAAGCTTCATAGATAGGTGGAGCCCTTTTGCTGAGCTGTGAGGGGTTTTTTTGTTGGATTTTTTTAGCTGTGTTTTT